ATGCTGGGTGCTCCTCTGCCCCCCAGACCCTCCCCTGCCCCGTGTCCCCTCCACCCTGGGGACACAGCACATCAGGAACCCTGTGCCCTCGACTCCCCTCTGCCCTGAGACACGGTGCCCTGAGGTTTCCTCTCCAAGGACACGGCACCCATGGGCTCTGCCCCACACACCCAGCCGTGTCCTTGCTGCTGTGCAAAGCGTCGATGGCTGCAGCCTTTGTGGGGACCGCTTCGCCCACCCCCCCCTCCATCCCTGGCACCCCCAACCCACCCTGCCCCCCTGGGGACCCTGCCAGGCTGCGCACGAAGGTGCCTTTTCCAGGAGGTTTCGCCTCGGGGTGAACCCACAAAGTTGCTTTTGCACTGACCCACGCAGGGCTCTGCAGGGACTCCCAGCTGCGTCCAGGGCAGGGACCATCGCCCTGCACCCCCCTCCCCACCCCCCCCGACCCTCAGCACTGCCACATCCCGCACCAGAACCGTCCCAACGGGGTCCGAGTGCCGGAGCGGCAGCGGGGAGCACGATCCCTGCAGGTTGGTGGTCCTTCCCAAACCAAGCCCTTCAGAGCAGCCTGTGGATGACCCCCCACCCCAACCCCGGCCAAGCTCAGTGGGACAGGATGCCGTGGGCCCTGCCTGTGCTCCCCCCCCCACGCCTGCACGCCCACCAGCATTTCCAAGCCAGGCCAGAGCCGGAGCCGCCCTAAGAGGCTGCAAGAGTTTGGGAACAGCTGTGGAGCAGCTGCCGGGGCCGGCGTGGGGGCCGGGGCTGTGGCCGGCACCCCTCGAGCAGCTCAGCTGGCTTTGGGGGGTGGATGTGGTGGCACCCCGCTCGGGGGGACATGGTGGGAGCTCGGAGCCTGCTGCCGCCGGGCTTTGTTCTCGGAGCAGGGCGGCTGCAGCCCCTCCCCAGGCTCCACCTCCCCGCAGCCCACCCAAGACCCTCCTTCCGCTGCCTGTGCACAAGCTCCCGGCATGGTGCGCAGAGCTGGTGGGCAAGAGCTGCTCTCGGCAGAGCGGGGAGGCACCTTGGGTGGTGGGAGGCGTCATCAGTAGGGACCAGAGGCAACAGGGTGCCAGCCAGAAGGGGCCAAGCCCTCAGTGGGTGCACAGCATGAGAGAGATGCTTGGCTCCCGCGGCTCTGCCCCTGGCCACGCTCCAAGGCTGGGTACCCGGGGGGGGCTGAGCTGGCACAACCTGTTCTCCAGCTGGGCTAACCCCCAGCAGGCTCCGTCCCGCACGGCTGCCTCCCCCTGCTTCCCCCCCAGCTCACGGGATGCTGTCCCAGCTGAGCCAGGCCTGGCTTTGTGGCTGCTCACGTGGGGCTGCGGTCACCTCACCTTCCCCTGCACTTCCCCTGACCTTGGCTGCGCAGCTGGGACGCACGCTTGGGCACCTACCACAGTCCCTGCTCGTTCTGGCCCTGCCAGGCAGGTGCCGGCTGTTTCTGTCCCTTTTCACAGCCATGTCCTGGTGCTCCTCAGTGTGACCGTCCCGTCACCCCCACGTGCCCCAGCCCTGCCCCAGCCTGCCTCCATCACCGCCGCTTTCCCCACCCCATCTTTGATGTGGTTTCACACTCCTGCAGCTGGCACCGGGTGAGATGTGGCACCGGGGGAATGTGGCACCGGGGCGGGGGGGATGTGGCACCGCAGCCGCAGGCCAGCTCTGGGTGATGCTGGGAGGCATTTGGCTCCCCGCAGCCAGCTCCTGCCCCCGGCAGAACCTTCCAGTAGATTAGCAAGACAATTTTCCTTACAATTGCTCATCGCAGTTAAGAGCTGCAATTATTAATGACCGTTCCAGCTGCCAGAGCGGGAGGAGTGGCTCTTCCCCACACCCGCTGCCCCCGAGCCCCTTCCAGCCGGAGCTGCCGGCGCGGCCTCGCACCCCGTCCTTTGGGACGGCAGCTGCGTTGGATGAGCGAACGCTTGGCTGCTCCGCACCAGAGCGCGCCCACAGCCGCTGCACGTGGCCCACGCGTGCCCTGTGACTTCTTGTCCCCTGCACAGGACTCGGGGCCAGGGCACAGCAGAGACCAGGAGACGCTGCAGGGTAAGTGGGGACTTCCTTGCAGGGTTGGACATCTGCCCCATTTCCCCTCGCTGCAGCTTTGTCCCCTGGGTTAATTAGCAGTCCCGCCTGCTACCAAGAGAGAGGGATGACCCAGGGTGACGCGAGGGGTCCAGCCTAGGCTGACAGAGGCAGAGAAATCCAAGGCAAAGATTTCCCCTGGAAAGCTAGAGGGAGCTGAGTCAGGTCCCGGGGGGAGCAGGGTGAGGGCTAAGGATGACCTTCCCGGCCGGCCACACCTCGCTCGGCAAAACCACAAGCTCCAAGACAACCGGCACTTGCGAAGAAGTGTTTATTAAAGGCACTAAAAGCACCGTGGCTACATCAGCAGCAGCCCGACTGGAGAGCGTGGGTTTGGGAAAGGCATTTACAGGCCTGGGACGGCAGTGGCAGGCGCTCTTTGGTAGGAAGCCATTCCCAAGCCTTGTGGGAGCCCACGGGCCAGCCAGCCACCAGCACACACTGCTAGCCCACGGCTGGGGTGGGCTTGGCACGCTGCCCTGCTTCCCGGCACGGCCAGGCTGGGGGTGCTGCCGCACACCAGCCCCAGGAGCTCAGCAGGCCAGCGGGGTGGGGGGATATGAGGTACAGATTCCCCCCTTGGGACACAGATGGGGTAGGAAGCCACTGCAGCCATTTGCAGGGTGGGCAGGGGGTTGCTGTGGGCAGGGCCCCCCAACAGGGGAGGGGGGGCTGGGTCTCCAGCCCCATGCATTAAGCACGCAGCAGGGAAGGTCGGGGAGGGCATGGCAGGGGGCTGGGGAGGCTGGTCCTCACCCGCTCAGGGAGATGCTAGGAGCATCCCTGCCCTGGCACTGAGCTGCCAGGCAGCAAGGCCCCAGCCAAGCGAGGGAGTAGCCCTGCTGTGCCAGACCCTCCCCGAGTCCAGCCTCAGCTGTGGCCACCACTCTGTGGTGGAGACAGTGGTGGCTTGGAGACAAGAGACCCATAGAGCATGCCCTTCCCGGGGCTCCTAGGGCCAGCCGGGGGGCACTGAAGAAGCCACCCAGCTATAAGGGGCTCCGAGCCCTGCGTTGCCTCCAGCTGGAGCAGGGCCAGGAGCTGCCAGGAAAGAGGAGAGGAGCAAGGGGAAGGGGTGAGGGCCCAACCTGGCTCCCTGGGGGCAGCAGGGGAGGGGGAGAGGAGCATGCAGGGCCAGGGGCACGCGTGGGCACAGCTGAACTCCCGCCCCTCACACGTGGGTGAAAGCGTGGGTCTTGCAGAGCGGTTTGTCCTTCCTGGAGTAGAACGTCTTCCCTTCCAGGTTGGTCTGGCAGACCTGGGGAGAAGAGTGCAGGCAGTCAGGTCAGGGAGGCCAAGCCAGCCCCTGGGACCCCCCCCATCCAGCCCCCACAAACCAGGGCTCAGCACCAGCATCGCGCAGATGCCGGGGAGCAGCAGGCTCAGAGCAGGGGCCCGAGCCACCAGCGCAGAACCAAGCGGGGAAAACCTCGTGGCAGGAGGGACCCCACGCTGCTGCTGGACCCCACGCAGGGCACAACTGCCAGTGAGAGCCACGGTCCCCCTCCAGCAGGCGGGGAGGGAGGTGCAGAGCTCACCGCACAGACGAAGCAAGTGTCGTGCCAGCTGAACCCCAGCGCCTCCAGGAACCGGTCCCCAGCATCAATCTTGAAGTCACAGCCACGGCACTTGGTGCCAAACATCTTCTCGTAGTCTGCAAGGAGAAGCAGAGCCCAGGTCAGCATTCCCCTGGACCACAGCCCCTCATCCCAGGGGAGCAGGGCTGCAGCACAGCCGGGATGTCACAGGCACAGCCTGGGGACAACTCGCTGCCAGCCCTGGGGGGACGATGCCCGAGACACCCGGGTGAGACGCCTGTGCCATGCAGGGTGGCCCCGGCTGCCACCGGGCGGCAGGGAGGAGGCAAACCTCATCTCCCAGGATGCAGCACTCGCCTTTGATGTACATCCTCCGTCATCACCATGGCAACATGGGAGTGATGGCACTACCCAGGCAGCCAGGGAGGACCGGGATGGAGCGCTCAGGGGAGGTCCCTGCCTTCCCCATGGCCTGGGGAGAGCCCCACAGCACAGGGCAGCTCACCTCCCCCAGCCCCACTGGCAGGTGCTGAGCCCCACCGGTGCCTGGGGCCACGTGAGGTGGCACGGGGGGTCCTCGTGTCCTACCTCTCTCACAGTAGGGCTGTCCCTCCTCCATGTAGAAGGCACGGTTGCGGATGGGAGTTTTGCAGGCAGCACAGGTGAAGCACTGCACGTGCCAGGTCATCTTCAGTGCGTGCATGACCTCCTGGTGGGGGGAACTACTGTCAGCTGGGTGCAGGACCACACTCAGGACCACCCTCCACCACAGGGGACACCCTCCCAGGACAGAAAGGGACAAAGGATCCCTGGGGATGGGATCAGGATAGGAAGGGACAGAGCTAGGGACTCTCAGGTGAGCAGGGATAGGAGGTGTGGGGCAGGCTGAGGGGCACTCACCCCAGTAATCTTCTTCTTGCACTTGGCACAGCTGGGCGCGTAGCGCGTGTCGTAGCACTTGGGGCAGAAGATGGAGCCCTTCTCCTCGAAGAAACCACCCTCATCCAGCACTTTCCTGCACTGGCAGCAGGTGAACTCCTCGGGGTGGTAATAATGTCCCAGCGCCACCAGGTAGCGTCCCCTGCAGCAGGACAGAGCCACGTCAGCCATGCTGGGGCCCAGGATGCTGGCATGGTGGCCGTGGTGGCCAGGGCTCACCTGATGACCTTGTTGCACTGGTAGCAGAGGGGAGTGCGGCCAGGCCCTTCGGGGGCCTGCTGCGCCGCCTGCACGATGGAGCTGCGGTTCTGCATGGGGGTTGGCGTGGCCGGCTGGCTGTGCTTGCTCACCACCGTGCTCGTCTTGTCCGGGGCATAGCGCTCAGCAAACGAGGGGTCCACGGCCCAGGGCGGGCGGCTGGTAGGGCTGGGGGTGGCAGCAGGGGTCCTGGGGGCTGCACACACACACAAGTCTCCAGCACGATGCTCCAATCCCTCGGCAGCCCCCTCCCAGCACCCACGGCTGGGCAAGCAGCATCCCCCGGCACCCTCGCCCCACTCCCTCCCAAGTCCAGAAGAAACGTTTTGCTTACCCAGTCCCGGCTCCGTCTTCATCGCTGCTCCTGGGGACGGGTCCGTCACGGAGACCTGGCTACAGAACAAAGCAGTTAATCCAGGCTGCCCCGCTCGCCCCCTCTGCCCAGCGGGTCTGTGTGTGCAGGCAGGGCCCCCCCACCCCAACAAGCAGGCAGGAGCCGGCCAAGCCCCCGTGCCCAGCCAGTAGCTGGTTTGGTGACAGGGGACCAAGCCAAGAGCCTTCAGCCCTGTGGAGACACAGCACCCCAGGGTCTCCGGCAGCCATCGTGGTGGTCTGGGGAGCGGTGCGAGGGAGCACAGCTCTGCCAGGACCTGCTCCCTGATCTGGGCTGACCAGGGACCCCGGGACCATGCAGACCCCAGCTGCCCACTCGTATACAATGATTGCCCCCAGCCTCACTGGGGTGCAGAGGGGCTCGGACATGACGCCGCACAGGAAGCCCCTGGGTCCAGGTCTGGCAGAGCTGGGGACAGGCAGGGCTCTGCCATCCAGAGCCAGGCTGGTCATGGGGGGAACAAGGATTGTGCCCCCCAGCAGGCTGCCAGCAATGGACTTGGGCAAGCTAGGGCCACAGAGGTATGGCCCACCCAAGAGAGGGCACAGGGACAGAAGGAAAGCCAGTGGCTCTGTGCCTCTGAAGGGCAAAGGCAAGAAGCAGATGGCTACAAATACAGGAGCATTTATTTGTGGCACAGCAAACTGGGAAGAGCTGGGACCCAGTGGTCACAGTGCCAGGGCAGGAGGCATCATGGAGGGGTGACAGCAACAGAGGAGCTGTGCACGACCCTGCCCAGGGCAAGGAATGGCCCCCCAAGTCCTGAATTCCTTCATGTGACTCCATGCAGGGTCGGGCACTCACGGAGACGACAGTGGCACTTGCCCGGCTCTGCTTGGTTGCCCCACAGCCCCACACCAGGCTTGTGGGACATGGCATCCCAGGTACAGACGCTGACCAAACACAAGACCCACAGCCTGGTTTTTCCAGTGCCACCAGCTGCCCCCACCCGCCGAAACCATGGAACGCCCTGCTCAGTGCCAGCAGTGCCCAGAGGCCTGCCAGCCCCACAGCTCCTGCTACCACCATGGCACACGCTCCCCTTACCTGGGCTTTTTAACAAACACATCATCATGATCCTCCACTGAGCGCAGCAGGAGAGAAAGGAGGAGACAGAGTCAGTCTGCAGCAACCGAGGCCCGGGGACAGCAGGAAAGGAAGGGAAGGGCAAGGGAGGAAAACCAACCTCTCCTCCCGCCACCCTCCTGCCACAGCCCTGCCCACAGGACAGAGCACAGCCCCACACAATCTCCGAACGGCTCAGCCTACCCAGAGCCTTGACTTGGGGCAAAAATCCAGCCCCCATTGCACATCAGCCCACAACCTCTACTGGGTCCTGGGCAACCTGGCAAAGTCTGGCAACCCTGGGCGACCAGGCAGTGCCAGGTCTGGTGGGAACTTACTGCCGTCTGTGCCCGTCAGACGGGCCAGTTTGCGGAAGGAGCGGGACTGGGAGGTCCCAGTGCGGGGCTGCCAGTCCTCAGCATCCTCTATCAGCCGCAGCTTCCCGGGGTCACACACAGGGGTGCTGGGGGGCTCCTGTGCCTGGGGGGGCTGCCTGCGAGTGACAGAGGGCAGGCACTCAGCCCACATCACACATGGACACTGCCCAGCACCATGGCAAGGGGCAGCGCACCCAAAGGCGCCCTTGCACACACGATCCCTCTTGCCAGACCCCAGCACTCACCATGGCTGCCCCGTGCCCCAGCTGGACCCACGGGCATCCCTATGGCATCAAAAAAACGGTGGCACCATAGTCAATGTTTGATCCATGGCTCAGTGTATCCCTCCCTTACACACCCCAGCCCCACAGAGAAGCATGAACCCCAAAAAATACCAGCAGCATTCACTCCAAACCAGCCCTGCAGTCACTCTGCACCCCCACAGGACATCATGCCACTCGTCCAGATGCTGCCCAGCAGCTCCCAACATCCCCAGCAAGGTGTTGCCAGTACAACCAGCCGGCTGCCAGGCAGACTGTCCTCAACTGGACAGTGACCTCAACAACCCACACTGGACAACTGCCCACTGTATCTGCGACACCTTGGTGCAGCTTGGCCTCCCCAGCTTGGTGCCAGTAGTGCCCAGCGGGTCCTGCCAGGCACGGGAACAACCCATTGTAAAGACACCCCTGCTGGGGACAACTTGCCCGTCAGGGCGGTGCTCGGGCAGGACCCTCCCAAGGTGATGGCCAGAGCAGTGGCTGAGCACTGGTGGTGCCCATCAGGGGGCAAGCACAGGGCAGGCTCAGTCAACAGCTTGGCTCTCAGGAGAGGACAGAGGGAACGGGTGGATGGAGAAGGAGGAGAGAAGAAACAGCAACAGGACAAAGGGCTTTCCCAGAGTCACCGCAAGCAGCGAGTGGGAGGCCAAGCCAGCTCAGTGGGCACCTCCACGGCTCCTGCTGCACGGGCACCCTCGCCCCTTACCTGGGCTTTTTAACAAGTTCATCCTCACGATCCTCCTCTGAGCGCAGCAGGAGAGAAAGGAGAAGACAGAGTCAGTCTGCAGCAACCGAACCCCAGGGACAGCAGGAATTGGAGGAAAACCAGCCTCTTCCCCTGTAGAACTCCCATCCCAACACCCCGGCCGCACACCCCTGCCCGGCCACGGGGCAAAACACAGCCCCAGCCCAGCGGCACCATGACATGCCCCACATGGCACATCCCACACAAAGCCCCAGGTAAACCCCGCCAGCTCAGCCTGCCCAGAGGGGACACACACGGCCAAAATCAAGCACCCAGTGCCACATCAACCTCACAGCATCTACTGGGTTCTGGGTAATCTGGCAAAGTCTGGAAACCCTGGGCAAGAAGGCCACCCTGGGCCTTACAGGAACTTACTGCCGTCTGTGCCCGTCAGACGGGCCAGTTTGCGGAAGGAGCGGGACTGGGAGGTCCCAGTGCGGGGCTGCCAGTCCTCAGCATCCTCTATCAGCCGCAGCTTCCCAGGGTCACACACAGGGGTGCTGGGGGGCTCCTGTGCCTGGGGGGGCTGCCTGCGAGTGACAGAGGGCAGGCACTCAGCCCACATCACACATGGACACTGTCCCGCACCATGGCAAGGGGCAGCGCACCCAAAGGCGCCCTTGCACACACGATCCCTCTTGCCAGACCCCAGCACTCACCATGGCTGCCCCGTGCCCCAGCTGGACCCACGGGCATCCCTGTGGCATCAAAAAAACGGTGGCACCATAGTCAATGTTTGATCCATGGCTCGGTGTATCCCTCCCTTACACACCCCAGCCCCACAGAGAAGCATGAACCCCAAAAAATACCAGCAGCATTCACTCCAAACCAGCCCTGCAGTCACTCTGCACCCCCACAGGACATCATGCCACTTGTCCAGAGACTGCCCGGTGCCTCCCACCACCCCCAGGAAGGTGATGCCAGTGCTGGTGCCAGTGCCACCAGCCGGCTCTCAGGCAGACTGTCCTCAACTGGACAGTAATCCCAACATCCCACACTGGACAACTGCCCACTGCCTGTGGGACACCTTGCTGTAGCTCAGCCTCCCCAGCTTAATGCAACAGGCGGCAACAAGGTCTGGCCAGCATGGGGACAACCCACTGTAAAGACACTCTGGTTGGGGACAGCCTGCCTGGCAGGTGCACACCTATGCCAGACCAACCCGAGGTGACGGCCAGAGCAGTGGCTGAGCGCTGGTGGTGCCCATCACGGGGCAAGCAAAGGGCGGGCTCTGCCAACAGCTCGGCTCTGGGGAAAGGGAGAAGATTCAGAGGGAACAGCAGGAAGGAGAAAGAGAGGAACGAAGAAACAGCAACAGGACAAAGGGCTTTCCCAGAATCATCACAAGCAGTGAGTGTGAGGGCGAGCCAGCTGGGTGGGCTCAGCTTTAGGTGGGCACCCCCACAGCTCCTGCTGCCGCCCTGGCACACACTCCCCTTACCTGGGCTTTTTAACAAACACATCATCATGATCCTCCACTGAGCGCAGCAGGAGAGAAAGGAGGAGACAGAGTCAGTCTGCAGCAACCGAGGCCCGGGGACAGCACAACGGAAGGGGAGGGAAGGAAAACAGACCTCTCCTCCTGCTGCCCTCCTACCCCAACACACAGCCCTGCCCGACCATGGGGCAGAGCACAGCCCCAATCCAGCACCTCCACCACGAGCTCATGCAAAGCTCTGGGTAACTCCCACCAGCTCAGCCTACGCAGAGCCTTGACTTGGGGATAAATCAAGCCATCAGTGCCACATCAGCCCACAACCTCTACTGGGTTCTGGGCAACCTGGCAAAGTCTGGAAACCCTGGGCAAGAAGGCCACCCTGGGCCTTACAGGAACTTACTGCCGTCTGTGCCCGTCAGACGGGCCAGTTTGCGGAAGGAGCGGGACTGGGAGGTCCCGGTGCGGGGCTGCCAGTCCTCAGCATCCTCTATCAGCCGCAGCTTCCCGGGGTCACACACAGGGGTGCTGGGGGGCTCCTGTGCCTGGGGGGGCTGCCTGCGAGTGACAGAGGGCAGGCACTCAGCCCACATCACACATCGACACTGCCCAGCACCATGGCAAGGGGCAGTGCACCCAAAGGCGCCCTTGCACACACGATCCCTCTTGCCAGACCCCAGCACTCACCATGGCTGCCCCGTGCCCCAGCTGGACCCACGGGCATCCCTATGGCATCAAAAAAACGGTGGCACCACAGTTAATGTTTGATCCATGGCTCGGTGCATCCCTCCCATATGCACCCCCAGCCCCACAGAGGCATGAACCCCGTGAAAATACCAGCAGCATTCACTCCAAACCAGCCCTGCAGTCACTCTGCACCCCCACAGGACATCATGCCACTTGTCCAGAGACTGCCTGGTGCCTCCCACCACCCCCAGGAAGGTGATGCCAGTGCTGGTGCCAGTGCCACCAGCCGGCTCTCAGGCAGACTGTCCTCAACTGGACAGTAATCCCAACATCCCACACTGGACAACTGCCCACTGCCTGTGGGACACCTTGCTGTAGCTCAGCCTCCCCAGCTTAATGCAACAGGCGGCAACAAGGTCTGGCCAGCATGGGGACAACCCACTGTAAAGACACTCTGGTTGGGGACAGCCTGCCTGGCAGGTGCACACCTATGCCAGACCAACCCGAGGTGACGGCCAGAGCAGTGGCTGAGCGCTGGTGGTGCCCATCACGGGGCAAGCAAAGGGCGGGCTCTGCCAACAGCTCGGCTCTGGGGAAAGGGAGAAGATTCAGAGGGAACAGCAGGAAGGAGAAGGAGAGGAACGAAGAAACAGCAACAGGACAAAGGGCTTTCCCAGAATCATCACAAGCAGTGAGTGTGAGGGCGAGCCAGCTGGGTGGGCTCAGCTTTAGGTGGGCACCCCCACAGCTCCTGCTGCCGCCCTGGCACACACTCCCCTTACCTGGGCTTTTTAACAAACACATCATCATGATCCTCCACTGAGCGCAGCAGGAGAGAAAGGAGGAGACAGAGTCAGTCTGCAGCAACCGAGGCCCGGGGACAGCAGGAATCGGAGGAAAACCGACCTCTTCCCCTGTAGAACTCCCATCCCAACACCCCGGCCGCACACCCCTGCCCGGCCACGGGGCAAAACACAGCCCCAGCCCAGCGGCACCATGACATGCCCCACATGGCACATCCCACACAAAGCCCCAGGTAAACCCCGCCAGCTCAGCCTGCCCAGAGGGGACACACACGGCCAAAATCAAGCACCCAGTGCCACATCAACCTCACAGCATCTACTGGGTTCTGTGGAATATGGCAAAGTCTGGAAACCCTGGGCAAGAAGGCCACCCTGGGCCCTGCAGGAACTTACTGCCGTCTGTGCCCGTCTGACGGGCCAGTTTGCGGAAGGAGCGGGACTGGGAGGTCCCGGTGCGGGGCTGCCAGTCCTCAGCATCCTCTATCAGCCGCAGCTTCCCAGGGTCACACACAGGGGTGCTGGGGGGCTCCTGTGCCTGGGGGGGCTGCCTGCGAGTGACAGAGGGCAGGCACTCAGCCCACATCACACATCGACACTGTCCGGCACCATGGCAAAGGGGCAGCGCACCCAAAGGCGCCCTGGCACACACGATCCCTCTTGCCAGACCCCAGCACTCACCATGGCTGCCCCGTGCCCCAGCTGGACCCACGGGCATCCCTATGGCATCAAAAAAACGGTGGCACCACAGTTAATGTTTGATCCATGGCTCGGTGCATCCCTCCCGTACGCACCCCCAGCCCCACAGAGGCATGGCTCCACAAAGATGCCGGCAGTATTTGCCCCCCACCAGCCTTGCAGCCACTTGGCAGATTCAAGGGAGATCATGCTCCAGGTCCAGGCACTGCCCAGTGCCTCCCAACAGGCCCAGCAAGGTGTTGCCAGTGCCACCAGCCATCTCTTCCCACTGTGTCTCGGACACCTCAGGGCAGCTCGGCCTCCCCAACTCGGTGCCAGCAGTGCAAGCAGGTCCTGCCCAGCACACCTGGCATGGAGATGTAAAGATGACATGGAGATGTCTCTGTAAAGACACCCTAGTTGGGGACAGCCTGCCTGGCAGGCGTGTTTCCAGGCAGGACCTTCCCGAGGTGACAGTCAGAGCAGCGGCTGAGCGCTGGTGGTGCCCATCATGGGGCGAGCAAAGAGTGGACTCTGCGGCTCCACCAATAGCACAGCTCTGGGGAGACGGAGAAGACAGAGGAGAAGAAGAGAAGAAACAGCAACAGGGCAAAGAGCTTCCCTGCAGTGACTGCAAGCAGGAAATGCCAGGGTGAACCAGCCAACAGAACTTGCCCAGCTCTGCCCAGCCACCCCGCAGACCCGACCAGGCTCACAGGCTCTTCTGCCCAAGGCCCGGGTTCTGCCCAACACCTCCCAACACCCCAAGCACAGTGCACCAGTGCCACCAGCCTCCTCAATTCCCCATTTGCCCAAGAGGCACAGCTTGACATCCCCAGCTCAGTGCCCAGGACATGCAGACCTGTGGCTCCGTGCTGCCGCCCTGGTACCCTCGCCCCTTACCTGGGCGTTTTAACAAGATCATCCTCATGATCCTCCACTGAGCGCAGCAGGAGAGAAAGGAGGAGACAGAGTCAGTCTGCAGCAACCGAGGGACAGCAGGAAGGGCAGGGAAAGGAAGGAAAACTGACCTCTCCTCCCGCCATCCTCCTGCCACAACACACAGCCCTGCCCGACCACGGGGCAGAGCACAGCCCCAGCCCAGCGGCTCCACCACGAGCCCACACATGGCCCCGGGTAACTCCCGCCGGCTCAGCCTCCCCCGAGGGGCCAGACGGGGCCAAATCCAAAGCTCCACTGCCATGACACATCCCAGCCTTTATCTGCCTCCAGTTTCTCTGGCAAAGGTGGGCAGCTCTGGGCCCTGCAGGAACTTACTGCCGTCTGTGCCCGTCAGACGGGCCAGTTTGCGGAAGGAGCGGGACTGGGAGGTCCCGGTGCGGGGCTGCCAGCCCTCAGCATCCTCTATTAGCCTCAGCTTCCCGGGGTCACACGCAGGGGTGGTGGGGGGCTCCTCTAGCTGCGGGGGATGCCTGCGAGTGACAGAAGTCACGTGCTCAGCCCACATCACACATGGCAAGGGGCAGTGCACACAAGGGGCAGGGCACGCAAAGGCACCCTTGCACACACCAACCCTTTTGCACACACCGGACCCCAGCACTCACCATGCCTGCCCCGTGCCCCAGCCGGACTCATGGGCATCCCTGTGGCATTAAAAAAATGGCGGCACAACAGTCAATGTTTGATCCATGGCTCAGTGCATCCCTCCCGTACGCACCCCCAGCCCCACAGAGAAGCCTGCAACACTCACCCAGTTCTGCCCTGCAGCCCCAGGCAGGCTCATGGACATCATGCCCCAGGTCCAGGCGTTGCCCAGCACCTCCTAACATCCCCAGCAAGGTGCCGCCAGTGCCACCAGCCTCCTCCAGATCCCATTTGCTCAAGAAGTGACAGTGCAGCTTGGCCTCCCCAGCTCGGTGCCAGCAGTGCCCAGCGGGTCCTGCCCGGCACACCTGGCACAGGGACACCCTGGTTTGGGACAGCCTGCCTGGCAGGCATGTGCCCGGGCAGGACCCTCTCGAGGTGACGGTCAGAGCAGTGGCTGGTGGTGCCCATCACTGGGCGAGCACAGGGCGGGCTCTGCAGCTCCGCCAGCAGCTCAGCTCTGGGGAGAGGGAGAAGACTGAGAGGGAACGGCAGGAAGGAGAAGTCAGAGCAACAAGGTAAAGTGCTCTCAAAGAGTCTCTGCAAGCAGTGAGCGCGACCACGAGCCAGCTGGGTGGGCTGAGCTCCAGGTGGGCTGAGACCAGGGTGGGCACCCCCATGGCTCTGGCTGCCGCCCTGGTACCCTCGCCCCTTACCTGGGCGTTTTAACAAGATCATCCTCATTATCCTCCACTGAGTGCAGCAGGAGAGAAAGGAGGAGACAGAGTCAGTCTGCAGCAACCGAGGGACAGCAGGAAGGGCAGGGAAAGGAAGGAAAACTGACCTCTCCTCCCGCCATCCTCCTGCCACAACACACAGCCCTGCCCGACCACGGGGCAGAGCACGGCCCCAGCCCAGCGGCTCCACCACGAGCCCACACACGGCCCCGGGTAACTCCCGCCGGCTCAGCCTCCCCCGAGGGGCCAGACGGGGCCAAATCCAAAGCTCCACTGCCATGACACATCCCACTATCTGCCTCCAGTTGCTCCAGCAAAGCCGGGCACCCCCGGGCAGCTCTGTGCCCTACAGGAACTTACTGCTGTCTGTGCCCGTCAGGCGGGCCAGTTTGAGGAAGGAGCGGGACTGCGTGTTGGTGGCGCGGGGCTGCCAGTCCTCAGCGTCCTCTATCAGCCGCAACTTTTCAGGGTCAAACACGGGGGTGGTGGGGGTCTCCAGCAGCTTCGGGGGCTGCCTGCGAGTGACAGCGGCGTCTGTCAAATCTGACAGATCCCCGCTGCATCACCTCCCTGGGGCTGCCCCACACCTCCTCCAGCACAGAACCACAGCACACCAGTACATGAGACACCATACGTTGCCTTCCTTCCCACAATCCCTACTCCTCCTCCTCCACATCGCAAGGGTCCATTAAAGACTGAGTCAGGACTGACCGTCCATCCCTGGCAGTTTGAAGCTGGTGCCAAGGGCCAGGAGGGAAAAGGACAGGGCAAGAATAAGCCAAGGTCAAAAATTACTGGCAGGAGACTTGCACAAGAGCCCAGTGAACACCTGCAGTACCAACGGCGGTGCCACCCATCTGCCTGGATCTGGGCAGCCTGGCAGCCCTCACCCAGCCCAGCCAAACCACATCTTGGGGAGAAGGGAAGGGACCACCAGCACGTGCTGCCTTGTCCCTGGGTTGACCCTGCCCCAGAGAGCAGGGAACTAGCAGGAAAGAGGCATGCAGGGAGGATAGAGAGAGCAGGCAAAAGGCTTACTGACTTGTCAAGGCTCAGCACCTGTAGGGGAGAGGGAAAGAGAAAGGGAGGAGAGAAAGAAAGAAAAAGGAAAGTGAAATTAGACCGCTGCACCCAAGAAGCTTCCAGAGCTCACCTATACCTTGCACCAGTCCCCCTACCCCCAAGACCCATGCCCAGCTCACCCAGGGCTGGGAGCACACTGGGCAGAAGCAGCAGGCACTGACAGACCAGACCATGCCTCCCTCAGCCCCCCAAAACACGCCTGGGTGCCCAGGGCATCCAGGGCCACATCCTCTCCCCATCCATTGCCTAATGTCAAGGTGCCATGGCAGGCAGCTCTTGGCAGGAGGGGCAGGGACCAGCAGCTGCCAGACAGGCAGCAGCTACGTGGGCAGCCTGCAGACAGAAGCTCCTTCCCTGTGAGCAGGGCGAGGACGGCGCTGTGCAGGGCTCAAGGGCTTCCCTGTGCCCAGCTCATCCTGGCAGCCTGGGGACTGGCAGGATGACCCCAGGCAGGAGCTGGCTGGTGGCCACAACATAGCCCCTGCTGCCACAGAGGCCAGCGAGTGTCCTGCTACGGCCACAATGCCGTACCCCTCAGGACTCCCCACAAGCTGATACGTCCCCGGATGGATGAGGGACCAGGATGCATGTGGGGACGCTCCTGTTGTGCCAGGTACCCCAGCCATTGGGGAATCCCAGCACAGGCACCGTCACCCGCTCCCACCCGTGGGTGCCTGGCATGCAAGGCGCAGCAGGGCTGGGCAGCGGGCTCCCCCCGACCTTCGGGGAGCAGGACAGACAGCAACATACCCATTGTGCTGGGGGGTGCAGGTGGGCGCCAGGGGCGCGTACGTCACGGGTTTCGTCACCAGCCCGGGCCGTGGGTTCGGAGGCGAGCCAGCCCCGAAGGGCCGAGCTGTTTTGTTGAGGGTGGTGCTGGGAGCGAAGTTATATTTCAGGGGTTCAGAGCAGGGGAGTGAGTCCTGAGCGAGACAAAACACACAGACACGGGCTCACACGTCAAGCAGCATGCAAGGGGCAGCCCCGGGCCAGGCAGCACAGCAGGTATCCAGGTAGGAAAGCCGGACAGCACGTGCACCATGGGTGGCCGGGCTCTGCCAGGCTGGCACCTCTCTCCGCAGGGCACCTAGCCCAGCAACAGCAGGTCACAAGCCCAGCCCGAGGGTTGCTGGAGGATTAGTAAGTGCCCTGGACGCTCACTGCTGCCTGTAGCAAGTTGGAGCATGCACACACGCCGATCGCAACCGTCCCGCGGCACAAAGCTGAACGCATGCAGATGGCTTCCGTCCAGGAGCCACCGGTCACTGGCCCCAGCCCTGTCTCCCCATGCCAGGGCACTCCCCAGCACTAGCAAACATGGGGCCCCAAGGTCCTGCTGCAGCTGCCCGGCCTCCTCCCCTGCATCAGCCCCTCCGCACCCCTGCCCACACCCGGCACCAGTAGGGGCACAGAGGGGCGGCAGCTGGGGTGTGCTGGGCAGACCCCGCTCCCTCTGATGCCCTGGGGCGCTGGGGATCAGAGCTGCTCCTCCAGCGAGGATATTTCCAGCCTTCCAAGCACACCCCGGTCCCCCAGAAGCCTGCGGGCCCCAAGAGCAAAGTCCATTTGTCCATCTACGCTCAGAGATTCCCCTCCCCTGAGACCAGGCTGAGCTGCAGCTGCAGCGCCAGGAGCGACACGTACCTTCTGCGACTTCCCCAGGTGGTTCTGGGCTCTGCAAGAGAGGAGACAACCGGGCAGGTGCTGGAACCAGCCCAGCCACCACCGGAACGATGGTACCCCCGGGATGCAGCACCCACCCGAGGGGAGCCACGGCCAGCTGGCACTACCCCATGGCTCGCAGGTGAGGGCCAGCGGCCAGGCTAAGTAGAAGCCCTCAGACCCAGCCAGGGGCTGCCAGGCTCTGAGTAAGGAGCAGTGATGCCAGGAGATGGTACTGGGTAGAGGGCCCTGGCTCTGCTCTGGCCACAGCAGGACCCCAGGTTTGCAGGACCCACGAATCCTACCTGCTTAGGGTGAGGCAGAGCCTGTCCCCGCAGGCGCGGATCCTGTTCTGGGCCTCGATGTGAGTCATGGAGCTGGTGCTCTCCCCGTCGATGTACAGCACCCAGTCGCCCACTCCGATGCCGGCCTGGGCTGCCTTCCCACCCGGCGTCAGCTGCGGGACAGACAGAGTCAGGGAGAGCTGGACCAGAGCAGAGGGACGCCCTCACCCCTCCAAGGGCAGGGGTCTGCTGGGGTCCAGGATCCCTCATGCAAAGCCCAGCCCGGCACAGGACAGCGTATAGATCTGACCCAGGGGGAGGCAGGGACCCCCGGACCACCTCTCTTTCCAGAGCATTAGCCCAGAGCAGCCCCTTCTCCTCCGTGGCAGTGAGGGGCTCAGCACGACCCCAAGGGTGCTGCCCAGCCCCTGCCCTCTGGCACAACTGGGGTCCATGCCAGCACCCTGGGGCCTGTCCCCGTGACGCCAAACGGCGGAGGTGGCGCTGGCTCAGCCTCGGCAGGAGGCCTGGCTGCCCCTGGGAGCCATCCCCACAGTGGGAAGGGAGCGCAGTGAGTCAGGGCCCCTTGGGCAGCCCACGTCTCGCTGTGAACCACAGGCACGTCCAGCCCTTCGCCCGGGGAGAGGACTGGGGGGAGGACAGGGAAGGGCACCCCCGGGCGCTCCCCCCAGCCACCCACGCTCCCGTCCTGTTCCCATCCCGGTGCCAGCAGGAGCAGACATTACCTCATCCCTGCAGGGGAGCAGGAGCCCCCCCCCGGGGCAGGGAGACACCCCCCCACCCACGCTGCTCCCCCAGCCCTCACCCTGCTGGGGCAGCCAGGAGCACGGCCACGGTGCCGGGGATTCACCTTGCCCCCAGCGTGGCTCTATGGCACGGCTCTACGTCAGCCCGGTGCTGGGAAGCAGAGGCTGTCCTGCCCTCTCCTCCCGCCGGGGATGCACAGCTGAAGGCGAGCAGGGCCCCGAGCGCCACACACAGCTCCCAGGCACTGACAGACAGACAGACAGACAGACGTAGGCAGTCTACAGCCATTCCTGCTCCTCCAGCACGGAAGAACTCGAGGCGCTTGGACCAGGACCAAGTATTTCCTCAAGTCCTGTTCGACATGAACATAAAAGGAGCGAGCCAGATTCCCAGCGCCGTCAGAGGGCTGAAAAATCCCTGCCGCCGAGCCCCGGCCCCTCCTTGCCCGTGCACAGGACCCAGCTCGCCCCAGAGCCACGCTCCCCTTCCCTGCGCCAGCACCGGCCCTCCACGTGAGGCCAAAGCCCACACCCGGGCTGGACGCCATCCCGCTCCACCTGCATCCTGCTGCCATCCCCGGTGGGATGTGGGCACCCCCTCCGGTGACCCCACGCTGCCTAGTGCCTGCTCCTCTTGCCTGGCAGAGGAGGGTAGCCTGGGTGGCAAGTGGCCACACTGCTGCAAGTCCCGGCTTGCTGCCCTGGAGGGCTGGGGAAGGCGCAGGGCAGCCCCATGGGTTTGGAGGCAGGAGTGGGAGCTGGGAGAAGTTTTCACACGGCTGCCCAGGAAGGGGAGAGCGCAGCAGGGTTGCGTCATGCAGCCGCACCCCAGCCTGGCCAGCGTCGCCATTCTCCTCTTCCCCCTCCGTGCCAGCATGCCAGGAAACCCCTTTGGCAGGTGCCAGCTCAGCCGGGAGCCATGGCACTGCCAGCTCTCCTGATTCCCGCCCAGCCCCGTTAACAAGGGCTTCTTTCCTCCTCTCTCCACCCAGCCAGTCCTTTGTTCCCATGCCTCTATCACCGCACCCAGCGAGGTGCCCACTGGCCACCCTCATCCAGGGCTCTGGCACCCAGAACAGAGTCTCACCCAGCATGGAGGGAAGTTGGGCACCTGAACGTGGGTGCAGACAGCATCCCCCAGTGCCTTCCCACCTGCAGGACCCAGGGTCTCTCCTCTTTCCCAGCTAGCCAATGCTGGGACGTGCCACACAGTGTCCAGCCCTTGCCCTGGTGCCACCACTGGCAGCTCAGGAACAGCCTCGCAGCCTGCCTAGCCAAGGCATCGGGACCCCAGAAGAACCCCTTGCCACAAGAAGACCAGGGTAGCACCCCTTTCGTGTGACCACTGAGCTGAAACAGCCCCCCAGCTCGCCCAGTAGCGTCACAGCGATGGACGCAGCCAAGAGCCAAAGCACGCACCAGCGCTGCTCTCCTCCTGCGCTCCCCGGCTCCAGAGAACAGGATTCCGCTGCAGCCCTCAAGGCCAGGGCAGGACACCTCCTTCCAGCCCGCTCCAGCACCCCCAGGCCTGGCAGGACAGCCTGCCCTACCGGCAGTGCCCTTGTCCAAGGCAAGCGGTGGCCAAGGGCAGCAGTGTGCTCCAGGCAGGACCTTTTAGGGCTAGAAATGCCTCTGGGGTGCAAAGCAGCACAGGGTCACCCCTTACCATCAGACAAGGGGCTGCTGCCCGCCCCCCCCCCCCCCGCCACAGGGATCCCAGGGGCACAACAAGCTTCCGGTGTTGCAGCTTTGCCCCGGGATAACACAGCGTTTACACACAGAGCTCAGGAAGAGCTGGGGCTGCCGCCCCCCCCCCCCCCCCGAGCCCAGCCCAGCCTGGCAGAGAGCCCCCCCAAAGCTGGCTGCATCCCCAGGAATGTCCTCGCTGCTCCTGCCTGCCCTGCCCAGGACGGCAGCGTTGCCCAAGCCCCGAGGGCAGCTCTGGCCTGCGCGCACAGCAGAGCCATTGCTTCACGAGGCCCCTGCCCTGGGAGGCTCCTCCATCCGACCAGACCCTTTGTTAAGCTCTGGCTCGCAGCCAAGAGAAACATTTTTGAGAGAATAAACTCGCTGAAGCCGTCTCTGCGTGCTCGGCGGAGATCGGCAGGCCCCGGGGCAGTGGCGCTGGTGACTCCAGCCTCACACTTGTGCCCTGGGGGTCCGTGCTCCGTGCTAGGGTGCTGCGGAGACCCGTGCCCTCCGGGGGCAGGCACAGGCGGGCTCGTGCCGGGGGCAGGCCCCCCCCCCCACGCAGCACTGGGTGCCACGAGCAAAGCTGTCCTTTGAGAAGCAGCCTCCGTGCCAGCCGCCCGAGCGTCAGCGGCCCAGGCGATGCAGTCACATTCCAAGGCTTATAAGGCAATTGCGTGGCCGGAGCTGTGGCCAGCACCCACCCGGGGGCCGCCTGCGGACAAGGACACACACTTGCCCAGGGCCAGACCTGGCCTGGGCGAGCATCACAGCAGGAGCGGCTTGCACAACGGCTCTCGTTCACGCTGGAGAAACAGGCTGGTTTTGCAGAGGGAGCCAAATCCCAGTGCAGGCAGCAGTACGGGCTGCAGCAGAGGTTTCCTCCCCTCCCCTGTCCGTTCCAGGGGCCAGCTCAGGTGCGGAGCTGGGAGCCACGCAGCAGGAGAGAGAGCAAAAGGGCACAAGCCAGGTCCCGGGATGCTGAGCCTGGTGTTGTGGTGTGGATTGGGAAGCTGGCCTCATAACTCAGAGAGGGTGAGAACGGCTCCCCTCCCCCTGTGGTGGGCACGCTCCGGAAGGGGCCTCCCCTGCTCCCCCAGCAGCCAGAATGACTCTGCAGAGGCTGTGCAACATTTCACATCCCCCCTGCGGTCCTCTGCCCGGAACACCCCCATGCCGGACTGCAGCTGATAAGGTTCGAGGAGGCTACGTGGAGCCAGGCAGGGCAGGATGCAGGGGCCCCGGCTCGTCCACATCCCCCATATAAGGCTCTGCCTCAGCCACCTGGATGGAGTCACCATGGCTCCCACCCACAGAGGAAGGATGGGTGTTGCTGGTCTTGGCTTCTCTTACCCTGGAGATGGAGAGGGGCATGCTGAAATCCTTCCCTCCCTGCAGCCTGAAGCCCCAGGGTGCCGGCCCGTTCAGCATCACCTTGTAGGACTCCATGTCACCCATCTCTGCAAGGGAAAAGTGGGTGATCCTGGTGTTAGGGTACATGGGAACAAAAGGGAGAGCAGGCAAGGAGGGGGCCCGGCCCCTGGCAGGACGGGGCAGGAGGAGGCAGGTTGCATTTCCAGCAGTAACTCCACCCTGGCCATCCTACACTGTGGTTAGAGACGCACCCCAGATCTATCAGCATCTCCTCCATCAGTGTTAGAGACGAGGGGCCCAGGCTAACGCTGACTAGTGTCAGGGAGCCAGGTACAGCCCCCTGCCACCCACAGCCGAGTGCCTGCGGGCTCCGCTCTCCCTCTCCCAACCCCAGGACGTGCTTTCCCTTGCAGCACCCCAGAAACTCACACTCCTAGAAGCTGAGACCCTGGAGAAGCAGCAGCAGGTAGAGAGGGATGGGAACCAGAAGCATTTTTGCCAGGTGAATTAGCAGCAACAGCATCATCCCAGGAGCTGCCTGATGCCACCCGAGGCGCCTGGCAGAGCAGCCAGGCTGGCGCTCCGGCAGCCGGCCGAGCAGATGCTGCCTGGGAGCGAGCCCATCTCCCCACGGAGAGCCGGGGCTTCGGCGGGGAGGGAATCCCGGCGCTCCCCTGCCCGCCGGGGCTGCGCTGACAGCTGTCAGCCGGCCAAGGCTCCGGGCAGACAGGCACAGCCCCAGCCTGGAAGGTGCCACCGGGGCCCCTACGAAGCCCCCAGGGACTTTCCTCCTGCCGCTGACCGGGCGGGGGGGGACAGGACCAGCTCCGGTGGCCCTCCCCAGCCACCCCCGGCGAGGGACGGCGGGCTCCCAGCTGGGAGGCGGCGGAGGCTGCAGGGCTGGGGGCCAGCGTGCCCCCGCTCTCCCCGGCCCGGTGCGGGCTATATAAGGCGTGTAAGACGACACCAGTCCCGCTCCCCGCTCGGGAGGGCCGGGGGAAGGCTGCGTGTCAGGCATTCCCGGCGCCCGGCAGCCGCGCAAGCCCCAACCAGGCGCCCGGGACCGGGGCGGGCAAGCAGCCCCCCGCGGGGCTGGTGGGGTCCCCGGCAGCCACCGGCTGCGGAGTCCTCCTGCTCTGAGGGAGCAGGCCCCGGTTTGTCTGCCCCACGGGAACCCCCAGGCCCCCCTCCCCATCCTGCCCCACCCCGCCTCCGTTCCCCGGGCTCTGGGACCCCAGCCCTGCCCCACGGCGACCCGACCCCTGCCCGTCCCCAACCAACCGCCCGACCCTCAGACCCAGGCCCCAGCCCTATCTCCCCCCCCTCACCCCACCGGCAGACAACGGAGACCCCCCCGGCACCGCCCGGCCCCC